TGAGAGGCTCCGCAGAGCAGCAGGTGCCTAGTCAGTAGGTGGTTTGAGTTGAAAATTCATCAAAAGCGCTCTGGCGCTTATACACGAGTTCGTGAAACTTTGTTGCATGCCCTTGGGTTTGCACCTACTCGGGACATAAAGGGCTGCCCCTTTCCCTTTGTTGCAGACTTGGCTTCGTGCTGCCAAGGACTGACGCTCGTTGAGAGGCTCCGCAGAGCAGCAGGTGCCTAGTCAGTAGGTGGTTTGAGTTGAAAATTCATCAAAAGCGCTCTGGCGCTTATACACGAGTTCGTGAAACTTTGTTGCATGCCCTTGGGTTTGCACCTACTCGGGACATAAAGCTTCCTGTTCTCTCCTGCAGCTCCGAGCAGCACGGAGTGGAGGGGCCTTGCTCGCGATGAATGTTATGGGGACCTGGGGACCGAGGCACTTCACCTAGGGAAGGGCTTCGTGATAGGGTAACCCCTGTACAATGAGCAGGAGAACGGAGGGTGCCACCCCGTGAGCTCCTAAGAACATTATTTCAGAAAAAACAGGCACGGGGAAGGAATCATAAAGGATGTACTGCATTCGACTTTTGGTTTTAGGTGCATTTATTTATTTAGATAGTTTTCCATTGCTTTTTAGAGAGACTGAAGCGGGGGGAAGCAAATAAAACATCTGAATTCATCATCTTCCAGTTTAGCAAATAAAAATAGGATTGATTTTTCATTACTCAAAATGCCCTAAGCTCTTGCTCATCTCTCTGGTTTGGTGCCTCCCACACAAGCCCCAACTGGGTCGGGGGGGTCGAACCTGCAACCCAGGTACCTGCTCTTCTTGACCAGGATTCCAGTCTGGACCCCTGAGTGTCTGGGGCGCACTCTAACCACTGAGCAACACCTGCCAGTTTGAATGATTTTGCCAATTGCCAGAAGTAGTTACACTGTCAGATACTGTTTTTCAACTAAGTCAGCAAAGATAAAAAAGAAACACTGTTGTGATCTCGTCAGCGGTTGGAATCAGGTTGTTAGGCTTTTGCTGGTGGGAGAATAAGTCAGTTCAATCTCACTGGAGGGCAATTTGGCAATATCCATTTAAGTGACATACACTAAAATTGGAATGATTCAGTTCTGTAGCTAGGAAATTTTCCTTTGATAACCGCGGCATATATATGGCACATCATAATGATTTTCAGTGCAAAATTGTTTGCAATAGCAAATGGAGGAAACCCAGATGTTCGGTAAAGAATGGTTGTCCATACAATGGGCTGTGGGAGGAACATGAAATTATATACAAAACTAGTAAAAGGGGGGGGGAGGATGTACATTGAGAGATTCTCCTGTGACTCCAAAGGTACCACCTGGAAGGGTGTTGGGGAAATAATTGTACTTTCTGCTGGTTGGGCTATAGGTGGGAAGGAAATTTAGGTTTCAATATAATGTGCCTATTTGTGCGTTTTGAATATGAATCAAGTGAATGTATTACATATTCAAATAAAAGTTTGAGAATTCAATTATTAGATATTTCACAGTGACAGAAAAAGTGCAGAGAATAACATACCACTTCTCCCTATCAGATCCTAATATTTTGTTGATTTGTGTTTTGTTTTTAAAGAAAAACATTCCCGCCGAAACTGGTTTGGCTCAGTGGATAGAGCACAGGCCTGCGGACTGAAAGGTCCCAGGTTCAATTCTGGTCAAGGGTGTGTACCTGGGTTGCGGGCACATCCCCAGTGGGAGATGGGCAGGAGGCAGCTGGTCGATGTTTCTCTCTCATCGATGTTTCTAACTCTCTATCTCTCTCCCTTCCTCTCTGTAAAAAAACCAATAAAAAAAAATTAAAGAAAAACATTCCCTTTTTTCTTCCTAGAGATAATCATGACTCTGAATTCCCATATGTTTATATTATTTTATAACATAACACCTGTCTGTAAGAAGTATTGGACAGTATTGTTTTGTCTGTTTTCAAAGTTTTTGTAAGGAAAATTATACTACATGTATTCTGCAATGTGCTGTTCTTTTTCTGTGTGGCTTTGAGACTTCTTCACATTGACTTGCTTGAGTTCTAGTTTGCTCATTTTCACGGTTGTCTAGTGCTGTGTGGAATCACGGCTGGTGACAGTACAGGGAAGGAATGTTTTGAGCCACATCACCGGAGCCCCCGTTGGAGGAAGTATGGAGCCAGCATTTGAGAAGTCAGGTGGCACACTCATGGGGCGTCTTGGGGAACTGTGGAGGATGTGACAGTTGGTAGGAAACCGATTGGGATGTTACTGCTGCCGTCTGATCCAAAGTGGTGGCTGTGGAGGAATAAGGGGGTGGTCATCTGAGGTGGTGGAATGGCATTAGTGAGTCTAATAGACAGGAAAAGAGACCATTGAGATCATGAGGTTTCTGACATGGAAATGGTGGTTGTATCAGTAACAAAACTAGACCAATTGGGAAGGCTTCTGGCTGGATTAGGAATCTAGTTGGAGGTGTGATTGGGAATTCAGGGGAGGCTCTTGGGAAAGAGGGGTGGGCTTGGGCAGTATGTGCTGGCTGAAGGAAAGAAGGCAGAAAAGAGTATTGTCATAGGGCAGTTTCCAGCCAAGAGAGGTTGGTCAGCATGGGGATATGTCTTGGCTCCACATGAGGGTGGGGAAGAAGGAGTTGGTGGGCAGAGGCCTACCAAGGGACCAGCACAGAGGAGAGCATGTTCGATGGGAAGCAAGGGGGTCCAGAGGAAGCAGGTCCTAGGAGAGGAGGAGGAGGCAGTGGTGCTCCTGAACCCCAGTAGTAGTCAGAGGCAAGTTTTGTCGCAGAATCTGTTTTCCATTTTCTCTTGTAAAGATGCAGCAGGGAACTGGAGAAGAAACATTTACAGAAGGGGATCGTGTAGTAGCTAGAGGTGGGGAAGGCAGGTAGATGTTCAAGGCCCTGAGGCAGGTGGCCCCTCTGCGCCGCCAAGTGGCTGGCTGTGCTCTGGAACATCTGTCGCCAGCCTTTCGGACCTCACGGACCACCAGTTGGCGACCACGGCTCTGGAGAGTGTGAAGCTTGACTACACCGTGTGGGGCAGGACTGGCTGCCCCCTGATCCGGAGCAGCTGGCTGTCCATGGTCACTTCTGATTGGTTTGGAGTGTGTGGCCAGTGTGTTTGCAGTAGGTTTGTTTTACTGATTAGTTTTTGATCCTCCTATTCAAACCTTTTCCCCCCACTCAAATCAGTTTTTTAAAACATACTGACTCAAGTATTAGAAGATAACCTTGATTTATTTATTTATTTATTTATTTATTTTTAAATACATATTTTTATTGATTTCAGAGAGGAAGGGAGAAGTGGAAACATCAATAATGAGAGAGAATCATTGATCAGCTGCTTCCTGCATGCCCCCTACTGGGGATCAAGCCCACAACCTGGGCATGTGCCCTTCTGGAATCGAAACCAGCAACCTTTTGTGCACAGGACAACGCCCAACCAATGAGGCCACACCGGCC